AGAGACAGGGAGTGTTAATAAAAATTCAAACAGAGCTGCAAAGGTATTCGGGTACAAATTAATTAAGTTATTTTTGGCACGAATAATTTAAAACATCCAAAGGTTTCACGGAATATGGAAGTATTTGGGATACATCACGTAATTCTTGTTGAAGAACATCAGCATTCATATCTGATTCCTTTTCGACCGAAAGTATTTACTGAAGACTGGGGCATTAAGTTTCTAGCGTTTCGTCATCTATGTCCTTGAGTTTTAAAGTGTCACATAAAAACTAACAATTTTTTGCAATGGGTGTCCATCGTGAATCGTTAATTCAGAGAATTAGGGTAATGTGCAAAATATAATTGAAAACGTTTATTTTAAATGTATTCACCTCTGTTACGGTTTCATCGACAATTTCTTCCTAAAGTCAAATTGACGACTTTTCCTCCTGGCTCTAACTTCAGTTTCGGCAGGAAATTCTGATCTCCATTCAAGATTCTTTGCAATCTCATTAGCAGCAAATTTCATCTGATCATATCCAGATTTTCTATAACTTTTCAATTTTTTATGATTTCTGATGACATCCTTACATACTCTGACGAATTAATTTGTTTGTTTTTTTCAATAGCTTCTAGACTCAATATATTTCAAATACGGTACAATATCATGCCAATGAATTTTACCGCATATAAATTTTTAGTTGTTTAAATTTTTTTGGCTAAGCTTATTTCTTTAATTAATGTTTCTCCTTCTCTGTTGTCGTCTTCTATTATTTGGAGTAGTTCATCATCGATTTCGCAAAGTTGAAATCCTCAAGGTTTTAACGCATCTTTCCTACTTGACCACCTAGTAGCACTCAATGGTTTTAGAGTTAATTCATGTGAAACATATTTTTAGCACTTCCCAACGCTTTGTAGATCCATACAAAAAGTGTAAGTGTTCTTGTGCAATAGAAAAAAAGTTGTCTCTGTAGAAGAAGGTGCTGAATCATTCACAACTACGTTTAAAGAATGACATGAGTGGGGCTCATAAAACGCCTTTGGATATTTTTGAAGTATTCTATTTTGTACATTCCTTTCATATTAGTTCCGACGTCAAAGCCTTGTCCTCTAACTAAGCCACTTTAACTCAAAACCTAACTTGTTCAAATGTGTCAGAATACGTTCTGTCAAACCCTGTCCGCTTAGATCACTATCTTGTAAAAAAAGATTAAAGAATTCTTCAATTTCTTATATATATTTTGAATGTAGTTAGAAGCGACAACTCTTAATGTTAATGACAGTTGTTCAATATGACTTACGCCTGTGTTAAAATCAGCGATGATTGATTTAAAAAACAACAACTATTTTTGTTTTTTCGACAAGTTTCCTTTAAATTACTGTGGCAGTGTATGCCCCAACCCACTATTTGACCCGTTACGTAAACCATGTCTGGCGCCCAACTCAAGGTCGCGCGGTGTGTAGTAGCACTGGCGCGGTGCGTAACAGGTATCCCTTTTCACCTTCCCCCCCCCTCCCCCCGGACGGTCACTATACGGCCGGCGCATAGGGAGGAAATAATAAAATACCACGATGTGCGCATTGGTTAGAAATTCAATAATTTATTTATCAGGAACCCTAGCGTATTAAGTTATACATTACATCTTGTTAAGACGGTGATTTTATTCACTATACCTTAGCATATTTAAAAGTTTCCATCGTTGGAGGATATTTTAATATTTAGTCATTAAAGGAGTTTTCGCCTTCATTTATAGTGGTC